TTTTGTGTTTTGTTTTATTGTTTGTTGTTATTATTTTAACTTAGGTTGAAAATTTCGCTGATGACGCATTAAAAAGAGCAGTGGAAGATGTTTCTGATGAGGACGATCCTCTAGCTAAAGAACTTCTTGATTGGATGCAAAATAAGTTCAGGTGTTGTGGCGTGTTAGGACCTTTTGACTTTAACAATGTTACAGATTCAAATTTCACATGTGGGTTTGATAAAGGACTTAAGTCATGCCATCGAAAACATGATTGCAAAAAAACTCTTTACAGTGTTGGATGCAAGTTAAAGTTTTCTGATTTCATTAAGCAAAATTTGATTGTTGTTGGAAGTATTTCATTTGGCATTTCTACAATAAAGGTAACTTATTGCCTTATTATCTATACTTGGTAATTGATTTTAAATAAATTTTGTATTCTTGCTACTTTCTTGATAATTAATGCGTTTTTTTCCAACAATAAAGAATACTTTTGTTCTACAAAAGTAAAAAAAAATTGACCTATTATGAATTGTTTTCGTTTCTTTTTGTTGTTTCTTTACTTTAAGTACCTCCTCCTTTTTTAAGTATTTCTGCTTTTTGATATGTATTACATATTTAAGATGTTGTTTTAGTATCATTATTTTGTCAATATCTGAATTTGAATTCTTGTTCTTTTTTAGTTTTTTGGAATTGTTTGCGTATGTGGATTAATGAAAGTTATATCATTAAGAAATGAATATGTATAATACAAAATGTTTAAATAAAGTTGCTGTAAAAATAAGATAAGATGTGTTTATAAGATTATATGCATATTTAATATTTTTGTTTCGCTGACTACACGTAATCGAAAGGGTAAGGCCTGAGTTAGGGTTATATATATATATATATATATATATATATATATATATATATATATATATATATATATATATATATATATATATATATATATATATATATATATATATATATATATATATATATATATATATATATATATATATATATATATATATAAAGAGTTTGATTATTTGAAAAAATAAAACTTTGTGATGGTATATATATTATTATTTTTGATATATATATATATAATATATATATATATATATATATATTTCTATTTTTAAATATATTTTGATGTAAAAATATATCAACGATATTTCGCTGACCTATTGTGGTCAGCGTCATCAGGTAATAATAAAACGTTACAAAATAATATAAAACAAACCGTTTAAAAAAAAGATATTAAAAAGCGTCTAATATAAAAACCAATTAATTAATATAATAATGACGTCAGTTAAATTTTTGTCAAAATGGGTCCCCAAGTTCTTGTTTTAATTTTATCCCCATCATCTCGATTTAGAACACCTTCCCTAATACCTATCTCATATCAAACTTTCGATTTGTTAATCTCCAGGGATTCTCTTATTTTTCGTATCCTGTATTTTTTGAACAACTGCCAAGATCTTAGAATTTAGCTAATCAAAGTTACCACGGCATGTTCTAGAATGTTCCGTGGCTCCTGAACTTGACCAATTTTGATTTTTGCAAGCTCTTTGATGTTCTGCACTTATTGAAATGATTTTCTTTTTGGTCTCACCAATATATAAATTTCCGCATGAGCATTTAAGTTGATAAACTCCCTGATTTGAGTTCGGAGGTAGTTTTGTTTTGTTGTTGCATAATATGTTATTTAAGATGTAATCTAACAATCATGTAATTTAATTCAGAGGAGTGCAAATATTCAGTTAAATTCATGATCATTCAGTTAAATTCATGATCATGCTCATTCAGGTCAGGAAACAATTTTCACATACAAGCTGAGTATTTTCCTTAAGTTTGATTTTAATTGGATAACATTCAGATTATTATTTAAACCATTTTTGTCTCGATTACAAGCAAGCAGCAGTTTTAGGTGATCTAGAGATATTTTGTAGCTCAACACATCTCTTAACGAACTTTCCAATTATAGCAAACAAAATGAAAACTCTCTGATACTTCTGCAGAGGCAATGAAACCAATAACAAATGTTTTTCTTCTATGTTTAAGAATTTTAGTCCGATATTTATCTGTTAAGTTAGCAAGATATTGAATTGTTTTTTCAATAATACTAATCCAATAGATTTTACCATTAAGAAAGAGACCTTTTTCAAATTTTTGCCAAATGGACTTTTTGAATTAAGTAAATCAAAAAGTTGATTGGCCGATAACATTAAAAATTCAATGGCAAAAACACTTAGTAATTCTGATACAGAATTACTAAGTGTTTGTAGAGCTATTTTATGTCTCTTAAAATTAATATGGCTATTGCTAAGTTTGTTAGCAAACTTTAAGCCATGCTTATCTTACAAATTTTGCAGAATTGTAATGTGATCCCATTTTACAAACCTATTTTAACTACCAATATATATATATATATATATATATATATATATATATATATATAAAATATATAATAATATATATTTTTTTATAAAATATATAATAATATATATTTTTTTATAAAATATATAATAATATATATTTTTTTATAAAATATATAATAATATATATTTTATATATATAATATATATAAAAAAATATATATTTTTTTTTGACAAATTCTCCGTTGTCAGCGGAGAATTTGTCAAAAAATATCTTTTTTACTTAGACTGGTTTCTGCAAGCAAATTGAGTTTCCCAGGCGGAATTAATGGTACTAGCAGTCATCAACACGTTCCACCAAGAGTTTCTGAAGGATTTCAGCTCATCATTTGGATTTAAAAAGAATCACTCCACTGATAAATTCGGTTGGTGTATTTGTTGATCTTAAATATATATTGTGTATTTATATTCTCTTAAATAAACTAAAAAATGACGGGGTTAAACATTCGAATATTAAAATGTTTCAAAGTTATTTGTTAAATAGGAAACAATACATTTCTTTTAGCTGCGGAGAAACAAATAGTATGAATATAAACTACCGAGTTCTTTAAGAATCAATTTTAGGACCACTCTTATTTTTAATTTATACTAATGATTTAAGCAAATCATGTAATTTACTAGATTTTATTTTGTTTGCTGATGATACAAATTTGTTTTACGCTTATAATGCTATAAACATGTTGTTTAATTCAGTATACATGAAACTATTAAAACTTACAGGGTGTTTTAATGTAAATAAATTATCAGTTAATTTCACTAAAACAAAGTATACTTTTTTTCCATCAGTTTCATGAACGTGATAAAACCCCCTTAAAATTTCCAATACTTTGTTATAGAAGTTAAGCTATGAAAAGAGAACACTCATTAAAATTTCTAGGCATACTCCTAGACGAAAATGTAACTTAGATAGATCTTAGATATACATTATCTTGAAGGTAAAATCTTAACAAATATTGGCGCCTACTTTATAAAGCAAGACCCTTTATTAATTAAACTAGTTTAAAACTGCTATATTTCTTCTTTATTCATTGTTAACTGAATTATGCAAAGATAGCTTGGTGTTGCACAAATCAAAGCAAAATCAAAAAGTGCGGCCGTGACGCAGTGATTAGAGCGCTTGCTTTATAAGCAGGAGATCCAGGTTCGCAACGAGCTTTGGACATATTTCGCGTCACGGTACGGCAGGAGGCGTGAACTTCCTGGTTAAATGCACTTCTATGGTGGTCTATGACAAGACCGTTTGGATTTCTTGGGGCACCTAAATAACAAAAAAAAAAAAAAAAAAAGCTCTTTAAAATACAAATGTGCAGTTAGATCCAATTTATGTTGTTTTACACACTCTAAAGAACTATTTATAAAGCTGAATACAGTCAGTGTCTACCAACAAAATATTCAGGGCGGTGCAGAGGGTGAGTCACTCGAGCAAATTGCTAAGGACTCCGGACCCTATGGGGGCCCCCAACAGTGGCAATATCATTCCCGGTTTTTTTTCCTTCTTTTTTTGCCCATCAAGAGCTTTAAGTTAGTTAAATATTAATTAGCTCATTAAATTTAATAAAAATTACCGCAAAAAAGAGCTTAAGATCTAATACTTCTTTTTTTAAAATAAATTACGCAACGCTAAATTATTTTAAAAAAAGAAGTACTTTTCCTAGTCCGAAAAAACTTTTGTTAAAAATTTTTTTTTCCATATATTTTTACAACTATTTTTACAGCTTTAACAATATATACTTTTATTGCAAATACACTCAAAATGCTTCAAAAAAAAAACTGAAATAATATTAAGATATATTTGATGTACAAAGTAATGAAATAAAGTAAAATAGTTTTACAGTTTAAATTTTGAAAAGACAGAATAAGTAAAAAAGAAAAAAAAGTTTATTTTTTCCTTAAAAAAGGAAAAAATAAACCTTTAGTTATATAGTCAAGGGAAATTTGCAGAAAATTGTGTGAAGTCTTGTCATCAAGAACCCTTTTTTAAAAATAATTTCATGAGATACTCATAACTATTTTATTCAATATACTTATTTTTCAATATAATTAGTCGTGCTATTAGGAGGGAGCATAACATTAACATAACATATACATACATATACATACATATACATATACATATATATATATATATATATATATATATATATATATATATATATATATATATATATATATATATATATATATATATATATATATATATATATATATATATATGTATATATATATATATATATATATATATATAAGTATGTATATATATATATATATACATACATACATACATACATACATACATACATACATACATACATACATACATACTTACATACATACACATCCACATATACATATATACATGTATATTCATACTTGCTTATATATTTAAGTTTTAAATTTTTATTATTTTTTTATATTTGAATTACTCATAAGATATTAGAAAATTTCATATATAATTGATTGTATCTAAGACGAGTTTTTTAAGATTAGCTTTTAAGGAAATTATATTTTTTAGGAAGGGTATCAAGGAATTTTTGGTATTAATTTGTTATACAAGGAAGGACCACGATATGTTATAGAAAATTAGGACAGTTTTCATTTTTTTCAAAGGTACTATATAGTTTCCAGTTGTTCTATTGCTAAATTTATTTATATTAGTTTTAAAAAAGTTATTTATAAATTGACTTGGAACAGTTCCCTTTTTATGTCTGAACATAAACAAAATATTTTGATATATATTGATTTGGTAAATGTTTAAAACATTCATCTGTTTTAGTAATGGGTTTGCCTGAGTCAGTTTGTTTTTATGAAATACAATTCTTGAAGCGAGTTTCTGCCGTCTATAAAGTGAACTTAATTTAGTTTTATGGGTACTTGCCCATCCTATATTGGCGTATGATAGATAGCTGTGTATAAAGGAAAAATAAAAAAGTTTTAAATTTTTGAGCGATAGATAGTTTCTTGCTTTATAGAGTAGACCAATGTTTTTTGAGATTTTAGTATTAATGGTATTTATGTGAGAGTTCCATGATAAATTCTCGTCACCAAGAAATTTAGATGATTGAGTTCGTTCAATAATTGTGTTGTCTATACTAAGAGTTGGTAAAATTGATGGGGTAGCTCTTTTGATTTATTTTAAAGTTTATCTTTGTTAATCTAGTATCGTATTGGTTAAATCATGGTTAAATATTTTTTTTTATATATGGAGAGATTCAGGTCCTTAATTTTTATTCTTATTTAATTAATATCTTTTTTTATTTTTATTTTAAAAGTTTAGCCGAAATTTAATTTTTTATTATTTTCTGATTTGTAACTTTTTATTTTATTTTTTCAAATAAAAAGTTATAACGTATAAACTTTATTGTAAGTTATATTTTGTTCAGATTTATTTTTATTTTTAAATATTTATTTATTACTTTTTTTCCTGCGAGTTCGTTATTTCACATTTTTTTACGAATTATTTCATAATTTAAATCAAATATAATAAATATTGTTTGCTATCTTTAAAAATGGATCAATTAAATAAAAAATGTTAAATTTTTTTATATTTTCATACTCCTTACAACTGTTTTTGTTTTTTTTCCTATTTCTTTATTTGTAACTTTTTGCTTTATCTTTTCAAAAAGAATGTCTTATTTTATGTATAATGGTAACAATTGTATATGTTGTACGTATATATTTATATTTTACGGAATCAATTTTCGGGACTTGGGGATTTTCGGATCTTGTGCTATCGAGAGGAGACGAACTAATGCAAATAGGTCTATGCTTAATTTTTGAAGTTTTTGTAATATGTTATATAAAAGAATCTAAACTTGCTCCCATATTATGATACAATTAATGAAGATGAAATTGTCAGTTCGTCTTTTATTTAGTGCATTAACGTTCGCACGTTCCATTGAGACTTTGCTTGTCAGATCAATGTGTTAAAAAATGAAAGCATAGCAATTTTTAAAAGCTCTCACCACATCTATTTAAAAAAACAACCCCTTTTGGCTTATGAACTAAAGTCATTTGGAAAATGGACAAAAACTGGCGGATTAGCTTCGGGTAACCACCGATGAATAGTGTTTTCATTTAACTTGCTAATAGTGTTTTCATTCATCGCGCGAATAGTGTTTTCATTCAACTTGCGAATAGTGTTTTCATTCAACTTGCGAATAGTGTTTTCATTCAACTCGCAAATAGTGTTTTCATTTAACTGTGAATAGTGTTTTCATAACAACTTGATCAAAAATTCTTTTATTAAAACCCTTAATAAAATAATAAAGCTAAAAGTTTTTGATTTTGAAAATAAAATAGCAAATTTATGACAAAAAATGCCATTTAACTTGTTGATTTAACGTTACGCAGTAAAAACCATGTAAAAAAATGTTTTAACTTTATAGATGACATCTTACGAAACAGTATTGTGAATTCCATTTATTCTTACAAGATGTTGTTAAGTCAATTCTTAACATAGAAATAAAAACAGTTTCATTAGAGGTGAACGACTATGGAAAATAAACAGGTTATCTTAATATTATGCATTTAACTAACGTTATATCATTAACCTTTCGAGCAATTGTTACGGAAATTGTCTAGGAAAAACTGTTTTTATTTCTTTCTAAAGAACGTCCTTAAAAATTTCGTTATTTAAACAGCGAGTAGATCCTTTTTGTGGCAAGTATTTAATTTGCGAATTAAAGCATTTAATAAAGATTTGTTTTATATTTTAAAAAATGTTAACTAACAACTAACAAAAGTCATTTGTTAGTTAAAAGCAATATCAGTTGTATTAGTGATGGACTACTCGATTCGTAACTTAAAAAAGAAGAAAATCGTAACTTCGTTTTAAAGTTACAAAATAATTGGTTACTCTTTTAGAGATTTTATATCAAAACTTTTTTGATTTTTTTGATAATTTAAAATCTCAAAGAATCATAATTTAAAATCTCTAAGAATCATAATTTAAAATCTCTAAGAATCATAATTTAAAACCTCTAAGAATCATAATTTAAAATCTCTAAGAATCATAATTTAAAATCTCTAAGAATCATTATTTTGATCCAATAAATTCTTATCAAAAGTAATTGAGTTTTTCTCAAAGAATAAAAGCAATTTTTAATTAATAATTCTTTGTCGTGTAAATAATAAGTTATTTTTAAAAAAGTGCCGAAACCTTCAGATGCATCTAAAAGTTTTGACGCTTTTAAAAAGTTCCTTTTTTAAAAACATTTAAAAAAATAAAATATTTGATCAACAATAAATTGAAGATGCCAGCTCCATTTCCAGTGTAAAATATATCAAATTATGCAATTAAAATCACGGTGAAAATAATATTTTACAATGATGCGTTTTTTATGACATCGCGGAGTACGATAACTTTCGGAACCATTAAAACAACTTAAAGTAAATTTAAAACAACTTAAAGTAAACGTGAACTTTACTAAAACAAAAAGTTGTTTTTCTTGATATTTATTCTATTAAGAAAACTTGTGTCCTGTTTAAAAAAAATTTGCAAAGTCATATTATAAACCATAAAGAGCAGTTTTGTTTTTAAAACGTAGCTTATCTACTTAGGGTAGATTAGGGTAATTCTTTTAAGCAAAAACTGAAACATTTCAAAAACAATTATGCTAAGTCCAAAATTTTGGCGAATAAACAAATTTTAGGAATTTCTACTCATGATCCACTTAGATATTTGGGCACCCGAAATTTTTTCTTAAAAACATAGAGGTTTTTAAAAAAATAGCATAAATGAAAAAACACTGGGTAATTTAAGCGTGCTCATATCACACAAATATGGCATCTTTAAATAAAGTCAAAACTAAATGTTTCTATGCATTGTTTTTCAAACAAAAATGGATTGTATTTTTAGCTAACATATTTTTCTTTATGAAAAAATTATTTTCATTAATTTAGCACCAAAATTTCGCGCCACAAATTTTATAATGCGTGATGAAATTATTTTAACAACGCAAAAAATTAACAACTTAACTTTTTTTTTTTTTTAACATTTTAATTTTAAATTTTTTTTACATTTGTCGTAATACAATACTTTAACAAATACAAACAAGGTTTCTGAAAGAAGATCGTACTGATCTTATCATCAGAACCTTTTACAAGCATTTAGCATAATTATTTACAATGTATATAATCTATATATAAAATAAACAGAAAAGTAAAACAAAAAGAGTCGTTACATAAAACGTATTTTACAATTAACATAAAACGTATTTTACCATTTAAAAAGTTCTTAATAAAGGTACATAATTACAATTAGAAGAACCTTATTATGTCATCGGAAAATAAAATAAAATTTTTGAGTTTATGTTTGAAAATTGGAAAAGTGTAAAATATATCAAAATTTGGCAAAACAACTTTATTCCAAAGATATGGCGCACGATAAGCAATACCATACTGTTTAAACTTTGTTCGACAAAAAGGTTTATGCAAAAATTTATTATTTCTAAGAGCGTATTTATTTATTGGTTTTTCACAAAAGAGAACTTTAAAGATAGGGAGGGATAAGTCATTTTTCCACAAATATATAAAGCATAAAACATTAAACACATTAAGCTCGTAAATATTAAGAATTTTCATTTCAATAAAAAAAGGTTTGGAATGAGTGTATCGATCCGCAAAATTAATTAAACGGATTGCATGCTTCTGACGGCGGTAAAGACATTGTAACTTGCTTTTTTCTGTGCTTCCCCAGGCAATATTTGCATAACTTAAATAGATATGAATAAATGAGTAGTATAGTTGGGTTAAATCTTTTTTACATAGATATGTTCTGGATTTATATAAAATTTCAATGCTTTTAGAAATTTTTGTGCTAATATAGTCAATATACGCTTTCCATGTGATGTTTTCATCAAGAAAAACACCCAAAAACTTTGTGTCATAGTGTCTTTTTATCACAGTATTATCAATAAAGATTTCTGGTAAATTTTGGGGTAAATAAGGTTTTTTTGCGATTAGATGGAAAAGAATCAATTTTGTTTTGTTACTGTTAAGAGTTAGCTTATTGCATTTAAACCATTTTGATATGTTTTTAAGTTCATCGTTCATACTGGAAAAGAGTTTGTAAATATCATTATTGGAAAGAAATATGTTGGTGTCATCAGCAAACATTATACTCATTAAATTTGAGGCTTTATTTAGGTCGTTTATATAAATCAAGAACAACAGTGGTCCCAAAATGGAACCTTGGGGAACGCCACATGAAACATTTAGGAACTAACTGGATGATAGCCGCTAATTACTGCATACAAATTTACGCAAATTGTACTGATTCGTGTTATTACCACATAAAGTCGATTCAAAAAACACAAAGTAACTTTAACTTTACTGCTTCCATCTAAGAAATCTTTAAGTATGCTCATATTACCACGGTGCTCATATTACCCTAATTTACCATAACTATTTTTTACAATTATAAATAAAAAGTCATTTTGTTAAAAACATTCACATTTCTTATTTTAAATAACTTCTTCATTTATAGGTTTCAACAAAAGTCATGTTGTCTTTACCATTTCGATTCTAAATTTCCGTAGTCTCTTCCGCCTCTGACGCAACCCAACACACTCGAGCAAACAATTCCAATTAGCTATATAAAGCATAAAATATATATTATATCCAGTCATATTCAAACTAATGATAAGCAAAAAAAAAAAAAAAAAAAAAAAAAAAAAAAAAAAAAAAAAAAATTGCAAAAAGTCACTAACATTGTTTGTAAAATTGTTTGTACCGGGTGACCGAGCAACAGCGTAATGCAAAAAATATAAAAATTTAAAAATACACAAAAAAAATTTTTTTAAATTCATAACTTACAAGAATTTTGACTAGATGTTTATTCATGACTAAGGTTTAAAATTATTTAATGTGGCCACCATTGGCATTATACACAAGTTGGATACGCTGCTGAAAGGATCTGCATGCATTCTTGACATCTTCTTCTGGAACTTTGGCCCATGCTTTGCATATAGACTTTTTTAGTGACTCGGTACTTCCTTGGAGAATCTTGCAAGCCACAGCCGTCTCCATAACAAAGTCTAGTGGGTTCAGATTTGGGCTAGATGGGCGTTACTTTGATTTGTCCCAGTACTGACTCATGTTTTCACTTAGAAAATTTTGTGTCTTTTTTGAAGTATGAGCTGGTGCCCCATCCTGCTGAAGCACATACTGACAATCTGGATAGTTTCTGTTTAACCAGGGAATGATCTTCTTTGGCAGGAGGTGGATATACTCAATACTGTAAATTTTTTGACCTTTTTTTACAAAAACTGGTGGACACTTTTTTCTATCACTTGCTATCACACCAAATACCATCACAGAAGCTGGTTTTTTTTTGATGAAAATGAATACCTGATATTCTCAGGGACTTCCTTTACTGTTTTAGCAGTACTAAGGTACCTTGTGTTATGAAAAGTTTTTCATCAGAGAAGATTGTCACACGCCCAGGGTAAGGTTTTTGCCAATTTAACAATTTTTTGCATCGCTCTTCCTGCTTTCTTTCTTTTTATTAGTGATAAGATGCTTAGTCACAACAGCTCTGGATTCAAATGGTTCAAATCTTTTATAACTTTTTGCATTGTGGAGTTGGCAACATTGGCTTACCTTGCCAAATGGCGGATGGAACGCAATGGATTTCGCTTGACTTTTCTTTTGACACATCTTAAAAGCTGAGGTGATCACTTCACAGGTTTTGGCTTATTAAAATGTCGTTTGATATCTCCTGTTTTATGAAAACATTTTCTTACTCGAAAAATTGCTGTTCTGGAGCAGTTTAAAGCATTTATGATATCTGATGTAGTCTTATCCGATTGTAACATTTGCAGAATGCTTCGTCTTTTTGATTTTTGCAGATCCATTTTAATTAAATTTTTTTAATTTTTACGTTTTTTTATTTCTGTGTTGATATCATTGCGTAATTTGTAAACAAATAAATCCACGGATATCTACAAGCATGGATAGAGCCTTAAATTTGAGCGTAACGCAGTTGTGTGGTCACCCGGTACATACTTTGAATTTGTCCAAAGGCCATTATTTTACGGTGTCACAGTGTGTGTGTGTTTTTATCAAAAAAACAATGTTTTAAATATATATATATAAAATTTTTTAGTTTCAGATGCGTATAAAACATAACATACTTATAAGGTTTTAAGAAGATCTAGTTAAATTAATAAAAAATAAAAATAAATTTAATTAATTAGAAAATAAATGATAAAAAAAAAAAAAGCATTTTGTTCATATATACATAAAAAATAAATAAATAAAACAAACAAACTGTCATATAATGTATAACATAAAAATGATGAATGTTTATGAAATAAATATTTATTAACACTTAGTTTTCATGTATAAATATTTTACATATTTATACATATCTTTATGTTTAAATAACTTTTTATATATTTTATTAAACAGCAAAGTATATGTGGTTTATATACTATAAATCAAGCTTTTTTTAAGAATTTGAGACAAATGGTGTACCTTGGCAAATAAAAGATAATATATATCTTCTGTATAATTTTGTACATCCTTTAAAAAGTATTCGCAATAATTGGATAATAAAAGTCACAGGAACGGGTCAAGATAACAACATCAGTTTTTTCTAATAACATCTGTCCAACAACGTCTGTAAATACACTGAAGTATAATAACATCTGTCCAACAACATCTGTAAATACACTGAAGTATAATAACATCTGTCCAACAACATCTGTAAATACACTGAAGTCTAATAACACCTGTCCAACAACATCTGTAAATACACTGAAGTATAATAAAATCTGTCCAACAACATCTGTAAATACACTGAAGTATAATAACATCTGTCCAACAACATCTGTAAATACACTGAAGTATAATAACATCTGTCCAACAACATCTGTAAATACACTGAAGTCTAATAACACCTGTCCAACAACATCTGTAAATAAACTGAAGTATAATAAAATCTGTTCAACAAGGTCTGAATTTTAATTGATGTCTAATAATATCTGTGTAAAATGTATATGATGACTACAGATGTGGTTATTTTCAATTATATGAAATATTACTACAGGTTTTTTAGAAGTTATTAAATAATGATGCATTATTTCAACCAGATGTAGTTTTATATATTTGGTTTTTATCAGATGTAGTTACATCTGGAAAAGAAAATTAAATATAAATGCATTATTTAACGAGATGTAGTTATATATAAGATTATATTTCAGATGTAATTACATCCGGAAGAAATTCTTCAAAATGTTATTGGACTCGGAGAAAAATTACTAGATGTAGTTACACCTTTCTAAAGATATTTTTAGGAGTCATTGAATTTCCAGACAATATTGAACAGATGTTGTTGGAGTGGGTAATCTAAACCGAGCTGTTATCTCCGTTTCTGATGATTGTAATCTTCAAAAGCTGTGCTCTTTTCAAAATATTTTTTTTAAAAGCTTCACTAAAGATACTTCTAAAAGTATCTATCTTACTTGTAATGGTCTTGTGGAGTTGTCAAAGTTCGTCTTGCTTACAAGTCATAAGTATCTTTTGTTTGGAACATTTACAACCGATCCTTTAGAAAAGCAATTTATGGAAAACTGAGACAAGGATTAGGTGATTTTATTACTGTACCAAAAATACTAGAGAAAGTTGGTATTATATAAATAATACTTCTGCAATAAGTGTTAGACTTGATTTTTTAGTAAAAAAACTTTTTAAGTCAAACTACATTATAATTCAAGTAAAAACCACATCTTTTTAAGTCACATTATCATTTGAATAAAAACCACATCTCTCATGCATTTGTGTTTTTACTTGATAAAGAAAAATGTCTGATATTTAATAATTTACAAGAGTTAGAAAGTATATTATCAATAGATGTTAAAATGACTATAGTTTATATAGCTTGGTACAAATTGTTCGAAATGATGAAGATTCAGATGACTCATTTTAATTGAAATTTAGAGATTTTACTGATGTAATCAAGCGTGAAAGATTAACTAAGTCTGTTAATTTAGTATGTTTATAGGTAAAATTTTGCTAAATTATGTTTTGTAAAGTAGCTGATAATACATGCATATCTTCTTAGTGCAATTTAATGATGTTTGTATCGGAATTGTATCAACTAAATATAAACAAAAACCATGGTGTTATACTTCCAAACATTTTCTTTGAAAACTATTGTAATTTGTATTCTCCAAGATCTGAAAAGAACCAAAACAAGAACCTTTAAAACTTAGTGTTGAATAACAACGGGGCAGGATTGAAAAGCCTGTTTTTTCGAAAGAATTTATTTTCGTAAACTAAAGTATATCTAAAAACGTTAAGATTGGGCCCATGAAACCTTACATGCTGCCTATAAATACGAATTTAGTTTCAGGTGGAGATATTGTGTGTGGATATTAAATATTTTGATATAACCATTAAAATTTGTGAAAAATTAATGGCATTTGATGATAAACTTCCAATTTAATTATAGTCTTATGAAGAATGCTTGAGGTTGGTGAACTTTGTTGTTAAATCTTGCTTAGGAGCCAGTCTTGATATAAGCTTTTAAACTAGTATCAAAAAATGTAAAAGCCTAATATAAACATTTTTTAATCTGGCTATTAAGATATCCTATGAAGACCTAATAGTTTTGTCACAGCAAAGTCGACAAACATTTAACTAGGAAGCCCACAACCTCTTCCTTACTGATGTCGCATAGCATGCGTTAAAACACGTACCTTTTATTTCTAAAGGAAGTGTTCTGACCACTTCTCTACGGCTGATCAATATAGTTTATATGTATTAACATGGTAATATTTACACCAAAGTTTAAATACCCTGTTTATCATGTAATCAAAATCTAAAAAACAAAAAAAAAATCGAGTCTTCCTAGTGGGCACTGGACCAAAATAAAACGTCTTTTGAACGTCTTAAAGACGTCCAAAACGTTCAAAAAACGTTTAAAAGACGTCTAAAACGTGTATAAAACGTTTAAAAGACGTCTTTTTTACGTCCGTGTCCACTGGGTTAGAGTTTATTTAGAGCAACCGAACACACAGCAACGGCCAAGAAGGTTTTTTCTAATAAAGTCTATATATGGAACTAGTTTACTTTGGACAATACTTTATTAACTACAAATTAATTGTTAACCATCAAAAAAAAAAAATTTATTGTTAACCATCGAAAAAAAATTTATTGTCAACCATCGACTAACTACATATTTATTGTTAACAATTGGCTAACGATAGATTTATTGTTAACCATTGGCTAACGATAGATTTATTGTTAATCATCGACTAACTATAGATTTTTCGTTAACCAACAATAACTATAGATTTATCGTTATATTTTAGTTAATTACAAAACTACAATTAGCCATCAACATGTAGTAATAAATTAATAGCTACAAAGTTCGGATATGTAGCTTTTAAGATGTTGTCGTGAAATATTTGTTCATTTATTCTGTTCATTATATTGGAACCAAAAAAATGATCAACAAACCAAAAAAATATATATTCAGATAAGAATGTTGCGTCTACACAATGCCTTCCAAAGTTTAAGCATTTATTTTTGATGCTTGATTTAAATCTTAAACGCTGCCCCAGCAAACATTTTTGAAGCCGATTTGCAGTAGACCATATAAGCATTTTGAGTAGTTTACCGGCCAATATCTTAACCAACAACCTGTACTGTGCCTTTAATAATATAAAAACCATAAAACCTTTTGTGCCATTTTAATGACGAAGTTTTTATTTTTGTTATTTGTAATTATATCAGCTGCAACTGCAACTGTGTATAACTGCAAAGTTTATGTTACCGTTTTGTTTGAATGTCTTGTCAAGTTTAAATCAATATTTTATAATGGAGTGTGGCCATGTAACTACGTTATATAACAGGCTTTGATGGCTCTACTGACCAAAGCACGTACAAACAGAAAATGTCTGCTAATAGTTTTTGCAGTTTAAAAAAGTCATTATCTTTAACTAGCTCCGATGTCAAAAGTTTATTCTGCTTATTAAATGTAACAAATTCTAGTCAATGTTGCTGTATATGTAGATTTTATCAAAAGACTAAAAAAAAATTGACAAAGGATTTCATTGGTAACCTCATTCGGTAACGGAACTTTTTCTACTACTGGATTGGCGGCAACTAGGATATTTAATATAAGAAACAAATTACATTTTTTGTGAACTAGAGGAAAGATTAATGTTATGAGATTAATGCTTAACAAGCTTTTTTCAGTGAACCTTTTTTTGAACAAAATTTTTTGAATTAACATGAATAAATCAAGAACTAACTGTATAATTGTATCTCGGATAGATCTGAAGATAATATTAGCAAGAAATTAGTACTGCACGACTCCAGGGCAAGGTTGATAACATCATTCAAGTCCAAACTGCGTGTCATTTTCTCTGAACATAAGACTATGGAAACATAATTTATCAAAAGGAATTGTTGTTTTCATTTTTTATTATCTTTAGCTAAGAAAAAGACTTTTCAATATTGTTTTACGTTTTAGAATGTTGGTTGGACAAGATCGTTGAATGTTAACTATAATGCTCTGCTGAACCGTGGGTTTAAGTTATGTCTGACAAATTGAGAAAAATTCTTTACTTATTCAAAAAAAATAATTTTTCACATCTTTATGATATGTTTGGCCTAAAGCAGTAACTTCACCAATTAAAAATACAAGAATTGCTGAGATTTCCGAGCATTGTAAACTTCACCAAGAAAGTCACTTCACAAATTTCATAACTTTAAACTCCTCTAATCTATTAAAAATTTTTAATGATTTCTTTGTTCGTTTTTTCCTGTAATACCAATATGCAACTGATGCAGTGTTGAAATATTTTCACCAAAATTCATCAAGTATTAAACTTATCACTATTGAACATTTTATTATATGATAAAAACTTTTTGATAAAGACTTTGTCTTTGATAAGATAATTTTTGAAAGCTCACAACAAGTCCATGCCTATTTGTAAAAAATGAAAACAGTTATATGTTTTTTCAATTATTACATATATAAATTGCATATTTCTTTAACAATTTGAAACATTTAATTGCTGTTTCACAAACAGATTAGGGTGTGATCAGCACACGAAATAGACATAGCATACTTGTTAAACTTTGTTATTGTTTCTTGCATACCTTTGCATTTACCAGACATATAGGCAGTGAAACATGTAACCAACTACGACACTAATTAAAATCTATTTTGAATATGCACATGCAGAGGCATTTCTGCAAATAAAATGATGAGGGGGAGAGTGAATCCTTAAAAAGTACCAACTGGTTCTTAAAAAAATTAATAAACTCTCTCCCTCCTTAAATTGCCTCCGTGGACACGTACAGTAGGTACCTGCAGTTTATGGCATTAGATTGCTTCTAGCTGGAGTAAATAGTTTATAAAAAAATAAGTTAACTCAAAAATCTAAAAATTAGCTTCTAGCATATTTGAAAAATAAGTTTGAAAAACCAACATTAAAATAAGTAAACGTAATCAAAACAAAAACTTTCTAGCGAAAGTGTGTTTTCTTTTGCTACATTAAGTAAAAGTTTTCAAGCAAAAATGATTTTTTTTTCTTTCAACTTAAAAATAAAAATATCTGAATTTTTTTTTTAACTGTCTAAACCTAATATTTTTTAACTGTCTAAACTCAATTGCAATATTTAAAACTAATGTTTTTTTATAAATGTTTGGTTTACATAAGTTCACCCTAACTATACAGCTTTAATGTAAAAATGACCCTTTTTTAGAGAAATTATATATCTCTAAAATATTTTAAAAGTAAAGAATAAATTATCTATTTTTCATTATATATGAAAACACGCACAAAAAATATTTACTCCAATTATAAACATAATGAGTTATATGCAAAAAATTTAAATTAAAATAAGATAGATTCGAACAGATTTGCAACTTTTATATTTTTCACGTTAAAGTTTTATGGTCTAATAAAAAGGTACTTCCGCTTAGAGTAATTAATTTTTCTAAAAAAAAAGTTAAAAATGACTGGTGCCTAGTGCCCAGTATTAAATTTCATCTTTACTTAAATCACCTCATATCCAAGAATCATTTTTTTATTTATAGATTTTTATATCATTTTTGCTTCTACTCTTCTTTTATTTATAAATCTTATTGCATGTTGGTTATATTGATGAAGATTATGTGAAACTATTTATTCCAGGTATTGTATAAAAGATATAATGAATATCTCGTTACTAACTCAATACAGTTGAAGCTTTTTGTTATTTAAACCCATTAATTACGTTTGTTATATGTCATTAAACTTTGTTAAGATTTAAGACTTTTCTTGCGCTCTCTGCTTCTATTTTATTATTAGGCTCCACTTAGTAATTTCTGAATAGATGCTTTCAGCAATAAATAAGTGTTTTATATTCTTTTTTTCGTTGTTTGTATATCTAAATTACAACAATTTTAATTACAAACATTAAAATAAATTTCGTCTAAAAACTTTATTTTGTACCACTGCGCAGCAAAAGCAACCTTTAATGAGTCGAGACCACTTGGTTTTTTAAGAGCTAACTATTAAAAGATTTAACTATTATTACAAATGTGTACCTCATTAAAAATATTAGAAAAATGAAAAATAGCGTTTACTCTGGATATTACATAATAACTATTAATATTAGATTTAAAATAAAAGGTAGTAAAATTCATATTTAAATCCATACAAGCAATATTAAAATATTTGTTACTCCCATGTTGAACTTTATTACTATACTATTCCTCCCATGCTGAACAATACTAACTTGTGCTTTTAATTGAAACAGAGCTCTGTCGCCCTGCTTTGCCGTTGATTATAAAGAAATACATTACATTTATACTACATCTTTAATTTATAATATTTATTTATATTAAGTTTGTATTCATTAAGTGTAAACCATGTGGAAGTAAGTTTTAAGTAATAAAATAATGAATTACCTGCATAAGAGAAAGGCCAAATACAACTCCGCCAGCAATAACTATATTTTGTTTAATAAAATTGAGAAATTTTAAGTTGCACCCATCGGTAAAAAGAATCTTTTTGCAATTCATCTTTCGATGACATGATGGTAGACCATTATTATAACCACATGTTAACTTTAAATCTGTAGCGTTGTTAAAGTCAGAAGGGCCTAAATAACCGCAACAACTGAATTTCTCATGAGCCCAATCGAGAAATTTTCTTGATGAAGAACTATTATCAAAAACATCTACTGCATTTTTTAATCTGTTATCCGTATAAGCTTCGATCTAAAAAATAAAGCTCAAGATAAAGTTTTATAAGAAATAAAAAGTGATATTTACCAGTATTATTTTGCTTGCGTTCTTTTTGTTTTAATTGCTAAAATCGTTTGTATTTTTTTTTTTAACACTTACTATTATTATTAAAGTTGTAGCTGTAAAATATACATACCATATATACATACAGCGAGCAGGGAAAACACCCTACTATAAACAACCAGTTTTATAAATATTTGTTCTGAATTTTATCCTCAATCAGTGATCTAATCTAATTTTAAAAGAAAGTACAGTGGAGTATAAAGTTCAGTAAGCCTTGTTGACCTTGTAATAACCGGTAGCTTTGGTTTCCCCATATGAAACTGATTGGGGACATCACTCTTGATCAATATCTCCAACATATTCTTCTTTACTTTCTTGCTAACACCATCTTCAGCTGGGGCAATATAACTAGCTGTTTTGTTAAGCACTATGCATGCCGCTTCATGCAGATAAGAAGAGTTTGTCTAAGTTTTGGTTACAAGTCCCTTATTTTGAATGATGACTTAAAAGTAGCTTAGTCATTAGTCAGTTGACTTGTTTTGCATATAAGCTTTTAAAAAGCAGGGTCCATAGCATATAGAAACATATAATGCTACTGTATCTGCATTTACCATCTTCTTCTCTTCTTCATTCATTACAAGGGATGCCTTATCAGTCATCCTCAGTGTCAGCAGGTACATAGCATCTGCCATGAACCTTATAAATAAATTATCATTATTAAAAATGTACTCTCTACTAAAAAAAAATTTTTTGATAATATATTTTAACTATACCTGGCTTCTAGACAGGCCCCAGGTTGATAAAAATGAAACCCTGGTATATCTTCTCCTAAATAAAAGACAATTAGTTCACAGAGCTATTAGGTCACAGAGAGTCTACTATAGCATTAAGTCACAGAGCTTCTTGTAGAGTCCCCTCTTAAATGTTTTTGAAGTCAATTCATTTTTGTAAAACTCTAAAGCCTCTCTTGCAATTTTGTACCGTGATGATCCAACCTGAAGCTCATTCCAAACAAACCTAATGATCTCCTCCGTCTTGGCCACCTCTTCCTTGACGTTTGGCCAGGCTTTCTGCAATCTTATATACAGTACTTTTCTGGGTCCTTTTATTTTCTCTCGAGTGAGAGCATCCATAAAGAAAGAGATGTTTAACTCCAACATGTATTGCCTGCAGATTAAACGAAGAAAAGGGATGTTGAGAATATTTGTAAGAATGGTTATAAAGCCAACAAATACTCCAGTGTTAGAAGCGGTGGTGTCATAACATATGGCAAAGATCTGGTCAACAATTTCGTAATACTCTAGAAGGTTTAAGATTACATTTTCCTGGTCAACTCCCTTGGAACTTTCAGCTTGAACCACTTTAAGAAGGATATCATTTGTGACATCGTTAGTGTTCTTCTGGTGAAGAACACTAACGATGTTAGTCTGTATCTTTCTGTTAGTCTGTATCTTTCTTTATTTCTCCTTTATTAGTGGCTTTCTTAAAAAGACAACCCATTTTAGAAAATTTTATGTAATATTAAGTTATATAACACATTCATTTGTTATCATTATTATTATTCATTTCATCATCTCAAAAATTTTAAACACGTTTGACCAAAACTTATTTTATGTAGTTATTAAATTTACCTTCATAATTTTCCAACAGCGTCTCTTTTTTTTAGGTACCCCAAGAAGTCCTTACAGTCTTATCACAGAACACCACAGATGAGCATTTAATTGGAAGTTTCCTAACCGACGTCGTAAAAGTTGCCTAAAGGTGGGGTTTGAACCACGGCTCTTTTGTTTCTGAGGAAAGTGCGCTACCACTGCGCCACGACTGCTCTTAGGTTGAGTTGACATGCATTTTTTAGTAAGTATAATGCTTTTAAACATATTAATGTTCAGATTTTGTTAAAAATAAAATAAGCAAACAATTAGTATGCTTTTAATTTATTTATTTTAAGTGCCCTAAGAAGTCCTTACGGTCTTATCACAGAGCACCACGGAGGAGCATTTGAAAGGAAGTTCACGTCTCCTTCCTTACCGATGTTATAAAAATTGCCCAGAGGTGGCGTTGAACCACAGATTGTTCTGAAGTAAGCGCGCTAACCACTGCGCTATAGATGCTATTTATTGTTGAGCCTAACACTAAGTTAGACATGTTTTGCGTAATATGAGAAGAAACCTATTAACGTCGGAATTTTTGTACTTATTTAAAGCATTTGTGTTTTTTTGTTGTTGTGCAAAGCAAAAATATAAATGTATCAAAAGCTTATGGATGTTTGTGAGCCTCATTACATTTGGCGTAAGCATACCCAAACCTGTTTCAAAAAGAAATATACTTATAAAAACATGCATCAGACTAATAATATCGTTATTCAACTTAGAAATAATCAATAAGTTAAATAATAAAAAAATGAGAAAAAATTTTCTTACTATCTTATCCCAAATTGACGTAATTTTTTTCAAAAAATTTAATTTTGTTAAGTTTTAGAGATAGCAGCTTTTGAGAACTGTTTTTTTTTCCCGTTGATTTTTAATCTCAAGGGACTTCAGAGTATGGGAAAAACTTAAGAGGTATTTTTGGGGAAAAAAAGGTTGTTTTTTGGGACACCCTAGTGCTCAGTGTTCTTAAAAGAACAGGGAAATAATAAATTTGTAAAAACACTTATCACTTTTAAAAAAAAGAGCTTTTTTCATTTTTATTTTATTAAATGTTCAAAATAGTTTCAATCATTATCTATACAAAATAAGCGTCCTTTCAAGCCATTTGTTTTTTTATAATCTTCTTTGGATATACTTTGAAATAGCTTTGTTATGTGTTTTTTTTGACTTTTGACATCAGTATCTTCATCAAGATATTTTTTATCAAATAGAATAGCCAATAATCGTATGGAGTCAAGTCTGGTGAGTATGGTGGGTGGCGAATTATTGTGATTCCAGCTTGGTTAAGACAATTTTGTGGAAAATGATCATATTCAACCCGTAATGTTTTGAACACAATTTTAAATGAGCTTAAAGAAAGCTCATTTAAAATTGTGTTCAAAACATTACGGGTTGACATCCAATCAAGCCATATATGCTATATGGCTTGATTGGATGTCTTAGGGAAAACAAGACATCCAATCAAGCCATATAGCATATATCACAACTATTTGTTAAAAGTGTTTGTTGAATGGAAAATTATAAAGAAAGCAGGAACAAGGTGTACTGAAAAGATACGTAAAATTTTTAGGACGTCAATAAATCAGCTGTGTGACATTTCAGCATATAAAGCCAACAAAATATTACGGAGATCTCAAATTTTAACTTAAAAAGAGAAGATGCTATTCTTGGTGGAGATATCTACAGGTAAACAAGATTTCTAATGTAGCTTTATATTTCATTCAAAGTATGTACAATATTTAGAGTTCAAATTATGTACAATATTTAGAGTTCAAAGTATGTACAATATTTAGAGTTCAAAGTATGTACAATATTTAGAGTTCAAATTATGTACAATATTTAGAGTTCAAAGTATGTACAATATTTAGAGTTCAAAGTATGTACAATATTTAGAGTTCAAAGTATGTACAATATTTAGAGTTCAAAGTATGTACAATATTTAGAGTTCAAAGTATGTACAATATTTAGAGTTCAAAGTATGTACAATATTTAGAGTTCAAAGTATGTACAATATTTAGAGTTCAAAGTATGTACAATATTTAGAGTTCAAAGTATGTACAATATTTAGAGTTCAAAGTATGTACAATATTTAGAGTTCAAAGTATGTACAATATTTAGAGTTCAAAGTATGTACAATATTTAGAGTTCAAAGTATGTACAATATTTAGAGTTCAAAGTATGTACAATATTTAGAGTTCAAAGTATGTACAATATTTAGAGTTCAAAGTATGTACAATATTTAGAGTTCAAAGTATGTACAATATTTAGAGTTCAAAGTATGTACAATATTTAGAGTTCAAAGTATGTACAATATTTAGAGTTCAAAGTATGTACAATATTTAGAGTTCAAAGTATGTACAATATTTAGAGTTCAAAGTATGTACAATATTTAGAGTTCAAAGTATGTACAATATTTAGAGTTCAAAGTATGTACAATATTTAGAGTTCAAAGTATGTACAATATTTAGAGTTCAAAGTATGTACAATATTTAGAGTTCAAAGTATGTACAATATTTAGAGTTCAAAGTATGTACAATATTTAGAGTTCAAAGTATGTACATTTTATGATCTGATGAAAAGGATGATGAAAACACAAAAAGCTTAGAAGATGACAAATTTTACCAAACCCTTCCGATAAAAAATTACCAGCCTTGTTCGATTCTTATTTCTAAGTTGAATCCAAAGATGCTGACAAAATCGTTTACTGAAGTTTCCAATTGGTTACACCAGCATTAGAGACACAACAGCTACAATATACACACAAAGCAACACAATAAGCGCTCTCGACACAATAAGCGTTGGCAACACAATAAGCAAAAATAGTTAAATTAGTTTATGCTCCCTTGAACAGTTAGCTATTTCAAAATTGAATGTTCATCGTCAACAAAAGAAAAAACGAGAAAGCCAATTTCATCAATTAATAAATAAATATGAATGCAACAGTCCACTTTATTTGTACGGTCACTGGGATAGCAAACTTGTTTCATCTCTAAAGGGTAAAATTATTCACACATTGCTTTAATACCTAAAATATGTCTGCTTTAGTTTTAATAAGCTTGAGGTTGGTGAAAAAATTAAAAAAAAAATGATATTAAGCTCGTGAGAGTAAAATCAAAATATAACAAATAAATTAGATTATAATTTCGCAGTAATATATTTTATTTCTTATTCACATTTTATTTAGATTAAGCAGTGATTTATTTTAAAATATATGTCAGTGTTACTGAATGTTGTCAGTGTGATCGTTTCTCAATAATATATTTCTTTGAAAATCTAACTACCTTATAGTTTGTTTTAAATAAAATTATTTCAATTAATCACACATAGATTGGAAATTATCACATAAATTGTAAAATTAGTAATCAAGTGGTAAAATATACAAGATACCATAAGATCTAATCCAATTACAAAAATTTTATTAAGTAATATTTCAACGGCCAACCAATCGATTTAAGCAATATAGATTATAAGGTATGCTAAAGTACGTACGCTATAAAACCCACCAATTTAGAAGCCCTCCCCCCCTTTTTTTTATTTTCTTTTTTCCTTTACGCGCTTGTATGCTTTCAGCGCCCCCTTTCTTTACGCACGCAATATTGATTTTAAAATTAATACCTTCCTCCTTAAAGCTTCTTGAAAGATTAAAAAAAAATCTTAGGTTAATTTAACATTTTTCTCATGACATTGGTTTTTTAAACTCGTTAAACTCAATGCTTTTGTTAAAAAAAAGAAATCAAGTTTTAGGATAAGAACAGAGCAAAAGTAAGTTAAACCGCGTACGAGCTCGCTATCCTTCACTTCCCTTGAACGCATTTAAAATTTTTGAATAACCCTTCTTCCCCATAGTTGCGTACGTATTTTATGGTAAACCCCTTACCATTTAAGAGCGAGTTTATAGCAGTGATTAGAGTTCTGAATCAGAATCAAAAGGTCCGAAACTCGACCTCGGCTCTAGCCCAATAAGCGAATTGGTAAGAAAGAAGGCTAGTTAAATCATTTTCCATGGTGCTTTATGATAATACCGTGAGTACTTTTGGGAGCACTTTATTAACCATAAAAAAAAAGACCTAGCAGACCTAAATACTTGTTCGGCATACGAAACAAAAATATTTTCGACTCGACGGGGGGTCATCTCAGAAAATAACTAATCCTAGGTTATTTAACCCCTTACTTATATCTAAAGATTTTTTGATTATTGAGATTGAATATAGCTAAGTTTTAAATGGCCCGGGTAATTGGGGGATACCCCTGGGCCCCTGCCACTCCTGAAAGTTCTGGGCCCCACTCTAAATCAAGGTACACAAATAAAACACACAAATACAAAATAATAATAACTATTTATTGTTTATATGCATCAATTTTGCAAAAACAATACAATAAATATGGTTGTTAATTCTACGATTAAAATATAAAATGTTTAATAAAATATACAAAGACATTATAAAGCATCTTTTATATTATAATTTATGCGTGGTAGAGTTGACTATCTTGACTAAAAAATTAATTTAATACAAAAAAACATTAAACTGTGTGATTTTTTTTAAATCTTTGTATACAATCTTGTTTTGATATTTTTTTACTATTTAATAATGTATATATATATTTTACATTAGCCCAGGACATTGGAGAGGATAAAAATGTGCTGTTGCAACATTAATTTTGGGCCCCCTCCTTATGACGATTATTTTATATCAACATTCAGAACGTAATAATAATAATAGTAATAATATTAGTAATAACAATAATAATTAACACTGGCTTATAATACGCTAGTGCTTCCCAACTAGAGAGGCTCAGAAATATTTTATGGGTGTAGATTTTATTGTTTAAATCATTAGTAAACAAAATATAATATATATATAGCTGCACAACGTTATTATTTCTTAGGAATCTAAACTTAAACGCGTTTATATTTTGATTTCTTAAAGTACAAGTTTGCTGCTAAGTTATGGTAACCAAATACGATTTGTATTTTGCTGTTTAAAGAACTCTCTCTTTCTCTCTCTCTCTCTCTCTCTCTCTCTCTCTCTTATATATATATATATATATATATATATATATATATATATATATATATATATATATATATAGAGAGAGAGAGAGAGAGAGAGAGAGAGGGAGAGAGAGAGAGAGAGCGATATATATATATATATATATATATATATATATATATATATACATATATATATATATATATATATATATATATATATATATATATATATATATATATATATATATATATATATATATATAGAGAGAGAGAGAGAGAGAGAGTTCTTTAAACAGCAAAATACAAATCGAATTTGGTTACCATAACTTACCAGCAAACTTGTATTTTAAGAAAACAAAATATATACGCGCTTAAGTTTAGATTCCTAAGAAATAATAGCGTTGTGCAGCTTGCAGCACAATGTTACCATTTCAACGTGCCAGGAATCATTGTTGATATGCTTGATGGCTTAAGCTTAATTATTTAATTATATTATTAAATAACAATATTAGGTATTTAATAAAAATTATATAACATAACGATTTTTGTAATGCTTTATTGATTTTTTAAAATCTAAAGGTAATATACCGAAGTACAGGTAAATAAAGAAATTTGCAAAAATACTGGGGATTGTAATTTGACAATGTAAAATAAAAATACCTTTGATGAATAAATAAATGCCATTGAACCAACAGCAATTTCAGAAACAAATATAGTGAAAAGCAAGATTAAAAATATTCCCAAAACACACATATTTCCTTTTATTGCACCAAAACATCCTAACAATCCTGCAAACAAAATGGTAAAACCAATACCAATAATAGACCACGGTAACAATTCATTTTTGTTTTCAGAATATACAATATAGTATTCGAAGTTAATTTTAATTAATATGCCCAAAACAATTATAGTCAAACCAGCGACCTAAATATTTTAAATTTTTAAAGATTTAAAAATTTTCACTAAACATTAAAAACATGATTTTAACTTTATTATTATTATTATATATATATATATATATATATATATATATATATATATATATATATATATATATATATATATATATGTATATATATATATATATATATATATATATATATATATATATATATATATATATATATATATATATATATATATATATATATATATATATATATATATATATATATATATATATATATATATATATATATATATGTGTATCTGAGTTAGATAAAAAAGACAGCGTATAAACTATTTTTCAAATATATTTTGACTTAATAATATAGTAAGGATATTTCGCTATCCTATTGTGATCAGGTAATTATTGTTATTATTATTATTATTATTATTATTATTATTATTATAAACTTGCCGTTTAAAATAATAACAACTCTCATATTTGTAAAATATATACATGGCGGGGGCAAGAAGAAGTCTTGTCGCCAACCCCCTCCCCCCAATAATCCCTAAAGAATATAGCCATCAAACCTTGTCATTAAAAATGTCATATAAAAAAAAAATATATATATTTTTTTAAAATAAAGATAATAAATTCTAAAATTTATTTTCAATAATAATCGAACACAAAGCAAAAATTAAAATTAACAAACGAAAAAAATATTTAAAACTATATATAACAGTTTTTAATTATTGCAATTAAGAATTCCTAATTCTAATGAAAAGAATTTAAATTTTTAGGAAAAATTTTTAGTTTTTCATAGAAAATAAAAAGAAAAAAAAATGTTTTTAAAGAACCAAATTTTGAAACCTTTGCAAATAAAATGAAAATATACAATACAATATTTTAATTAATTAAATATAGCTCTAGAAGAAGTCCTTTTGATTAATTAAAATTGTTTCTTTTAGTTTTGATTTAAAAACATTTGTTTGCAAGCGTTTTGATGCCATTTCTTATTACTATACTCCATAGTTGGTGGCCTCTAGGCTGTGATAGAAAACTTAGTGGCTTCAGAGTGAGTTTTAGCTTGAATATAATTATTGTTTGCTTGTCTAGTAAGATATTTGTGCTGTATTTATTTAAATAGCATTTTAAAAATATTTGGTATCGTATCGTTATTGATTTTATATATAAAAATTAAATAATGATAATATAATGATATATCTATTTGGTAAACATTAAAAATTTTTAGAATTATAAAGAGTAGTTGTAAATGAGAGAAACGATCTGCATTGGAACTCTTATGGCATGTTTTTGTTTGTTAAATAGTTTGTTTAGTTTTTTTTTTATTGGTGCTGCAACAAGCAATTTTAGCACAATTGAGATTCAAATGAATAAAAGAAAAGTAGATATATTTTAAGTAAATTTGATTTAGTTTATTGCCTTATAATGTATGTAAATAATTTTAGAAATTTTATTTCGGATTAATTTTATGTGGTTTATCCATGCGACAGTTTCGTCAAGAAGGACACTAAGAAACCTCATTGAGTGTTCTCTTTTTATAAATTGATTACCAATGCTAACATTTGGGAACTTTAGAGGAATTTCGTCTCTTTGATAAAGGCGATGAAAAAATATATACATAGTTTTGATTAAGTTTAATAACAATTTATTTGTAACAATTTGTTGACTGTTTTAAAGTTTTTTTAATGTTATTATGGGAATAAAATAAATTGGTAACGTCAGCAAATAAAGTAGAGTCTAAAATATTTGAATCTCTGTTTAAGTCGTTAATGTATATTAAAAAAATAAGCGGTCCTAAAATGGATTCTTGAGGAATTCTACAAGTGATTGTCGTATTTTCAGTTTTACCGCCATCTTAAGAAACACACTGCTTTCTATTAGTCAAGTAGTTTTTAAAGTAGCCGTGGCGCAGTGGTAGCACTTGCCTCAGAAACGTAAGATCCGTGGTTCAAACCCCACCTCTGGGCAAGTTTTGCGATATCGGTTGGGAAGGAGGCGTGAACTTCCTATTAAATGCTCTTTCGCGGTGCTCTGTGATAAGACCAGAAGGACTTTTATGGGGCACCTTAATCAACTTAAAAAAAAAAAAAAAAGTTTTAATAAAATGTGGTGGTCAACTGTGTCAAAGGCTTTGCTAAGGTCTATAAAAATACCTAATGTATACTCTTTTTTATCAAAGGCTCGAAATATATCGAGAACAAGTTCAAGAACAGCATGATCACTTGGATGACATTTTTTGAACCCAAATTGCTTGCTGTATAAAATGTTATTTGTTTCTAGAAAAGAGTATAGTCTATTATACATTATTCGTTCCAGTACTTTAGAGGAAAGAATGGAAATAGGTCTATAATTAGAGACATTAGAAGAACCACCCGATTTGAAAACCGGTATAACTCTTGCAGTTTTAAAACTTTCTGGAAATATTCCTTGTTTTAAAGAAAGATTAATAATATGCAACAGTGGTGTTATTAAATAATGCATAGATTTTATTACTACCATTCTGCTTATTTCATCAACTCCTAATCCTTTGTTTAGTTTTAACGTTTGAACGTTTGAACTTTTGAAAAGCAGGTAATTATTAATTTTTAGTTAGTTTATTGTTGGTCGTTATTGTATTGTTAGCAGTTAAATATGACTCTACGCTAAATTTACCAGGTTTTAGTTTTAAGGCTAAATTTGATCCTACACAAACAAAAACTTGATTAAATGTTTTTGCAATTTTTGATTCATTAAAGTAATGAAAAAAACGTTAAAAAATTACATAAAACAAACCGTTTAAAAAAAAAGCGTAAAAAATATATAAAAAGATAATATAATGATAATATAATTAGTGAATTAGTTAAATAGTCAGTTAAATTTTTGTAAATTTACGTGGGTATCTAACAATGAATAACAAAAAGAGCGTCAAGAGATGATATAGATGAAAAGTTGTTTGCGAAATGTTCTGCTTTATCTTTTATAGTGTAATAAGATTAGAACCATTTATAGAAATAGAATATTAGACTTGCCTCAGTTAATAATATAGTTAAAACCTTTCTAAATATTACTAGAACCTATATCTAGGTACCTATAAGTACGGTACACCTTACCGTCACACAGATTGTTTTTGCATCTTTTACTTGCAATAATAAAAAAGCATTTTTTATTTTTTATAGAGAGCTGCTCTTGTAGAAAATATGGAAAAAGTTACCATATGTGGGAGAGAGTGAGACTTGATTTGAAACAAAAAAGAAGGAATACAAGCTTCTATATATGACTGAATCCAGGAAATTAAATTGGTTCTTATTTAATTAAAAAAAGTTACATTTATTCATTAAATTTTTATTTTTTTAAAAGAAGGTACAGTATGTGTCAATAAAAATGTTTTTCATCTCCAAAAATATATAGATGATTTAGTTGTGTCCGTATATTATATATATAATAAATAAGTAAACTTTCAGTACTCTCAAAAAACGAGGTTTATTAAAAACACTACTTACTTATACGTAAAAGTTCATTTTACTTTGACCTTTTACGCTAATTTACAAAACTTCGCTAAGACCCTAGCTTATTAGAGGACTCCATAGTAACCAAAGCTAGAAAAATTAAAAAAAGAGTATTTAAATAAAATTACCTTTATTTAAATGAAATTTTACTCAAGTACAAGTAAAAGTTAACTGTCAAAAAATTTATTCAAGTAAAAGTAAAATGTAGCTAGTTAAAGATGTGCTCAAAGTAAAAATCACCGCATTATTATTTTAAACCATTGGGCCGGGTGCATAAAAAAAAAGCAATTGCTTTTTTTTATGAACCTTTATGCAGAATTGCTTTTACTCAGGGTTTTTATTGTAGTTGCTCAACTTTACGTAAATTTTAATTTGAGTTTGAAAATTTGAAATTTGAAAAATGTGAGCAAAATCGCTCAAATTTTATTCATTAAAGTATATATGGGCGGATCCATATTTATATCCAAAGATAAAAGTATTTTTTAATAACTGGTGTCACTTCTACTGAGAGAATTTTTAGTTATAGCTACAGCCTTTAGAAAATAATATAATTTATTAATTAATTATTAAATCGATACAATCGATTTTAATCGATACAAGATTTTTCCCCTAGAGAAAGAGTAACTTAAAAAACTTAGCTCGTTTTTGTCGGTGCGATAAATAGGCTGATTTAGAAATCAAAACAAAAACGTTAAAAGTGCCTGGAAAATCCCAAGACTGGTCCGAAATAACTTTTCATGTCAAAACAAAATTTAACACTATTTTAAATAAAACAAAAAAACTTGGTAACATTTAAGTTCGTTTTTAATATTTATTTGAAGTGTCATTTTTTTATTTTGTATTTTGCATAAATCTTTTTGCACTGGGCCTTCAAAAAAGTAATGAAACTTTTCACGCTACAATTTTCTTGAAAAACAATAATTTTAAAACTAAAATTCTTCTTTGAAATTAGTTTCTGCTCTCTTTTTAAGTAACTCCTTATCTAATAAGCCCTTCTTTCTTTAATTAAAAAAAAAAGCCTTTAGTAAATTTGTTTTTGCTTTTGTCTCACGGTTTATTAATTAAGATTTAGATGCTGCACCTAAGCATCCAAAATTTAATTAATAAAGTGAATTAATGTTTCAATTCATATCAATTTAAAAATATAAACAATAAATTGTTTTCTCCATATAAATATTCTGCTATAGAAAGTATGAAAAATGCAACAAATGAAGCAAAAATGGAAGAAGTTGTCCAGTTATTCATTCTTGCCGTGTATCTATTAATGGCACTTGTGAAAAGTGGACACTCCTCAATAAATTGTGGTTGCTACTGTTTTGTCAAACCATTGTAGACGTAGTATTAGGGTGTTGGTAAGAAACAATAGAATACAAATTTAAAAAAAATCTTTCTGCTCAAATCATTGATGGAAATGTAGAAATTTCAACTCGATGCATTGGTAAAACTAAATAAGTTTTTGGTTAAATAAGTTAATTGATAAATATTAAGTATTTTGTTCTTTAGTTGATAGTTAAAGGTTAAATAAGTTT